AATGATTTGTCATTTCAGTTGGTGTGTCATTAATTTCTGCTTAATTTTTGTATTTTTTTTAGGGTTTCTATGTGGGGTTTTTTTTCCTGCTGTTGAATTTCTTATTAAGTTCCTTGTACTCACTAAGTTTCTACAGCATTGCTTTGAATTCTGTATCTGATAGTTTGCTTGCCTCCATTTATTTAGTTCTTTTTCTGGATATTTCTCCTGTACTTTTACTTGTGACCTGTTCCTTTGTCTCCCCATGTTGGCTGCTTCTCTAGGTTTGTTTTTATGTTTTATGTAGAGCTGAACTTAGTAGAATGGCCTTGTATAGTAGGTGTCATATAGGGCCCAGTGGCACTGCCTCCACAGTAACCCAAGCTAGGTGCTCCAGGTACACCCCTGTTCAGTTATAGTTGAGCCTTGATTACTGTTGGTTGCCCCTTTGAGGACCAGCTGCCACTAGAACAGAGGAGCTTCTGTGCAGGAGTGGAACCTACAGAATAGGACTTGCTTCAGTGAGGTTTTGGTGCCCACTGAGTCTGCTGGTGATTGTGTCCCTTATGGAGTTACAGGGCTGTAATCCAGTGTAGTCTGAAGTTGTTCGCTGGGTACACTGGCTCTAGGGTCTCCCAGGAGCTGTAAAGTCAGTGACTGTCTCTGCCCTACCTTGGGCCACCCAGCAAATGATACAGAACTATCTGCAAATGGATGTTACTTGTGCTGGGCTTGAAGGTGCTCAAGAAAGGGGACATGTGAACCAAGGCCAGCTACTGCTAGTGCTGGGCCTGGGGCCACATAGAAAGTGGTACAGTGTGTGCAGAGGCCTGATGCTGTTTATTTGAGATTTTTTAGGAGTGTCTGAAGCATGAGGCAAGAGAGGACACATTTATGAAAAAGCCACTGGAAATGACATGGGAGAGGTGGGGCTTACAAGTTGAATGCAGTGAGGAAAAGAGAATCCCCAGGGCAGGGCAGACAGTGTGAGACAGGTTGATGGAGATTCAGGAATGGTGCCTGCAGGCTCTCTGGAAGGGGTCTCAGAAAAGGAACAATGTCCTCTGCCAGCACTTCTTCTGGCAGAAAGCTGCCTGCCACCTCTCACTCTGATGCCAGACAATTCATTTCCTTCCTGTAGGTCCCTAGTGATTTTCAAACTGTTGTCCCAGTGCTGGAATTCAGAACCAATGAGTCCAAGTAGGGTTACTCACAGTCCCTTTGTAAAGAACTGCTTGGGACTCCAGAAGCCCTCCATCTCATTCAGCCACAATCTCCACTGGTCTTCATAGCCAGAAGTAATGGGAACTTCTCCTCTTGCCACTGGAATCCTGGGCTGCAGGTCTTAGTATGTGGATGGGACCCCTTGCTTCTCAGCGGGAACCTCTGCAGAACAGATATCCTTCCCGATTTATATCTGCTGAATGTGGGAATGCGACCAGCTCGTTCTGTGTCTCTCCTCCTCCTCCCAGTCTTGATGTGGCTTCTTCTTTAAATCCCTAGTTGTAGGATTTTCATTCAGCTAGGTTTCAGGTGGCTCTGAATGATGCTTGTTCTGTAGTTTAGTTGGAATTTTGATCTGGTTGTGGGAGGATTTGAGTTCCACATTTACTTATCCTGCCATCTTGATCAGAGTTTCTTATTGAAACCTCACAGAATTAATAATAAATTCCCAACATTTGCAAGAATTTTGATAAATATATAACATTAATGCCATTTTCTATTCAAAACACATATAAGTAGAAATTATTTTGCTTTTTAAGCTTCTATTTGCAAGAGCAACAAATCTTACAAGGTACTTAAAGAAAATTATAAACAAATAGTTACAAGGTATATATGGGAAACTACTTTAAGAAATTATTGAGGATATAGATGAAAATTTAATTAGCATGAGGGATATGCCACATAATTAATAAGAAGACAAATAAATTCAAGGTTTTTAATTTTCTACCCAACTTAATCTATAAACACAACAGAATACCAAAGAAAACCTAAACAGCTATTTTTTTTGAACCTGTAAAGTTATTTTTACTCTTTGTTTAGAAGGTCAAGTAGTGAGACTATCTAAGAAAAAATAATTAAAAAGTGGTTGGGAGATTGCCCACTGGGGGGGAGGGGCCAGCTGGGGTGAGGAGCATTGAGGGGTTTTAAGGATGGCCACACCCCCAATTGGGATGGGGCTCTCCACTGGGGGGCATGGCCAAGATGAGGGATTTTCAGGCCAGCCACATTCCTAATTGGGGTGGGGGTCCCCACTGCAGGGTGGGGCCGGCTGGGGCTGAAATACTACCTCAGCATGTTTCTACTCATTGGTGTATGGCCCTGGCTTGTAGAGAACCCTCATGTGAAATCCTTAAGGCATTTCAGAAATATATGAATAAATATAAATATATACAGGAAGCAATATACATGCAATTTCTGCTTTCTTCCCTAAAACAAGCCTTCCTGCACCAAGGGTCACAAGATTGTGCTGCATACTGGATTGTGTAAGTAGCAACGTAAAAATAAAAACACACTGAGAAAAGTCTTAGATTAAAATCTATACAGTGGATTTTATTCTAATGAAAAAATAAATTTAACAAGTAGCCTACATCACACCAAGAAACTGGTGGTCCATGTGTTAAAATGTAAGTTTGCTTTTAATAGTAAAACAGTAGTATTACAGCTAATAATATTTAATTTAGATATTTCCTGCATGTATGCATGCTCACACACACACACTGAATGTTTTAGTAACTCTGTGTTAATATTCTCTTAAGAAACCAAGGTAATATTCCCACCAGTATTTTTAGTAAATAAATTGATAACTTTGAAAGACTAATAGGCATTTTGTTATTAGTCTATCTTCCTTCAATCATATCTTCAAAATAAATTGTTTATGATAAGTTTATTTTGGGATGAGCAATTAAACACGTGCATACAAAGAGCAGTGACTTCTTTAGGCCTTCCTGTGCTCCTATGTCTTTAATTTTAACATCCTCCATATTTCATCAATCGCTTTCTTAATTAATTTCTCCTTAGCACTTACCACACTCTCACACTATCCCAGTCACATATTGGTTTCATGTTTGTCTTCTCGCCTTGAATGTGAAGCCATGAGGAAAGGGTCCATTGGCTGTGTTGACTGAACCCCTGGTGCCTAGAGCTGTGTCTAACATGGAGTAGGTCACCCAGATTTATTTGCTAAGTGACTGAATGAATGAGATGCAGGAGGATTCTCACAAGAGAGAAATTTAACTTGAAAACCTGCAAATAACTATCCTTGGCTATTTAATTTAGAAATATTTAAATTAAAAACAATATTAATAACAAATAATAACATTGTGGCTCACGATGTGCTATGCAATTTCCACATTTACATTCATTTAATGTTCAAAGGTGTGGAAGTATGTACTGTTACTTGTTTTACCAATAGAGGAACCAAAAGCATGGGGAAATTCAATACCTTGCTCAAGAAAGGGAGGTTAAAATGCTATCAGACATCTGAGTCCAGAATCTGAGTCATTAGTCTCTACAGTATCCCACAAAACAGAATCATCTGAAAAGAAAGTGTTAGATAAGAAAATATTTGATTCTGGTGAAAAATGTTTTCACTCCTAATAGCAGAGCTGCTTCTCAGAAACACATAGCTCCTAGGACATAGCAGATATGCAGGATGGGGACATGGATCACAATGGTTCAACTTCTCCAAATGCTATACATTGAATGTATGTGTCCCTCGAATACTCAGATGTTGAAAACCCAAGGTATACGGTGACAATATCAGGATTTGAGGTATTTAGCAGTTGAATTGATCATGAGGGCAAAAGCCTCATGAATGGATTTATGCCCTTAAAACAGATTCCAAAGAGCTAGCTCACCCTCTATGCCCCGTGAGGTCATAGTGAGAAGTCAGCAGTCTGCAACTGAGAAAGGAGCTTTACCCTCAAACCAACCATGCTGGCACCTTGTCTTGTGCTTCCAGATGCAGAACTGGGAGAAATAAAGTCCTCTTGTTGATAAGCCACCCAGTCTGTGGCATGTTGTTACAGTAGCGTGAATGGGCTAAGACACCAAAGGATGAGTTGCTTTCCTGATCACACTCCCTAATGAATGAGAGATTCATTAGTGTGTGAGTTGAAGTGAATGCATACTTTCTCTTCACTTTCTTATCCTCTGGGCTGCACTCCCTTCCTACCCCAGCCTCATCCAGTGCTGGTGAAGGAAATTTTCCAAGGATATACACGCTGAGACACTCTGAAGTTAAGCAATAAGATTATTACTTTGGAGAAAAAATAAAGACATGCATATGAATGAGCAATAGGTATTTCGTAATATGTGTACACGCCCTGCTGAAAACGAGGTGGAACATGCTTTCAGTTTCAAATTGCGCGCCAAAGCTAGGAGAGAGAAGCCATGATCAGTGAGTTATTTTTTTTTAATTGTTCTTCTTAAGTTTTACTTGTTTGTTTACATTGTAAAAGGATAGGTCTTGGGAAAAATTTTTGAAAGTGGATGGCTTTCAGGGAAGCCAAATTAGGTTCTGTGAATGTTTAGGTGAACAGAAATGAGCGAGAGGGAAAAAAGAGGAGGGAGGAGGAAGGGAAGGAGAGAAGGGGCCTTAAAGGCTTAACTGAATTATCTGACAAAGGGTGCAGGATCCCCATGAGATGGGTACCAGCAGCTGCTGTCCCCAAGGGAAATGGGCTATCACTGTTTCCTTCTTTTATTATGCAGAGTTGAATAAACAGGAGGCACTGATATTAAATCTCTGACTTCAGGCTCTCAGTGAGCACACTGGGTAACACTGAGGGGAGAGTGAGGGCTGTGGGTAGCTCAGGATGACTGAACTGCATGGGGAGGGACATTTTATGGATTAAATGTAAAGGAGGCTGTTGCTGACTTGAGAGGAAAATGAGGCTGTTTAGTAACTTGAGAAATCCTTGTGCTTCAAACAGACAGAGTGTTGACAGAGATTATAATCCAATCAATTACCTGGGGCCCTATAGCCTGGTGGAAAGACCGAAAGTGGAAAGACCGATTAGAGCAAAGAGTGTATCAGGAGGAGATGGAGAAATTACACGAAGAAATTGCTGAAGCATTCAAATATTTTCAAAGATTCTTTGAAATCTCCCACCTTGCAGAGAAGAGGGGGCTGTCCTCAGGTAAGGTTTAGAGCTCAGACTAAAGTCCACCCAGGCTCCCTGTCTTTGCACCCACATAGGATTTCTTCATTTGTCATGTTAGTTTGCCAACAACTTTTCCTCTGGTTTCAGGGCCCCATTTCTAAGTCAGTGGCACTATTGTATATCCCCTGTCTTATTACTCTTTATTCTTATTCCTTTAGCCTCAGAGTCCTTCTAATAATTAAAACTCACTTCCCATCCTGAGTATATGGTAGCTCAGTTGTTGAAGTTTATGAGACCAGTCTGGTAAACTTTATACCACATTCTCTAGTCCCCCTGGCAAGGCAGTTTACTTATTTATTTATTTAGTTAGTTAGTCAGCTGGTTACTTAAGTCTAAGAATGCCTAGAAACTTTTATAGTTATCTGACATGAAGATTTAAGTTCTGTCATTGAATAGTTTTATAATTTCTCTCCAAAAGTTTGCTCTCCAGGTGGAATAAAATATTTCAATGTTGGTGAAGCACTCAGAGAATAAACTCAATCCTGACAGAAAAGCTAGGATTTTCAATGTGGACTCTTTCATTTAATTGCCCTCTTGCATTTTCTTTGAGTGATGTTGTCCACTAGCATGGAACTAGGCTGTAGACCATTGTGTAAGGCCCGACCTCTACCTCACATGCTCCTGAGGCCCTGATACAAGACAGACAGGCATCTAACCTGCTCCTTCTTTCCACAGTCCCTAAGTCCCCCACGCAGCCGCGATGGGAGCTCTGGAGGACTCTCAACCCCTGGTCTCTTTTATGCTCCCCAAATGCAATCGGAGGGAAAAGTTTTTCTTTGAAAGCAAGATGTCTTTTTCTCCGGGACTAGGGGAAGCCTATGCCTGGCTTACTGACATAGCAAAGTTCATCTCTGGGTAACTTCCTGTGTTTTTTTTAATAACTTTTTTTCCATTTAACACTCCCCCATATTAAAGACAATCAATACTAACAATAGGGTTCAGAATAATTGTATAGAAGCCAACGTTTCTTCTTATTTGCCCAGTTTCTTCTTCTTCCTTTCAGTTCATAGTCCTTGAGTCCTAGAGGCACTTGGACAAACCACTCTAATAAAGCCAACACCTGGAGTTACCTGGCTGCTTGCCAGCTGATGCCTCCTCAGTCAGGCTGTCATGCCTTTGTCTCTCCCTCATCTACTTGGCAATTGTTTTCTAGGCCACAGAATATGGTAATTCGATGACTTATTTGAATGACTCTAATGGGAGAGATCTTTCTAAAAAAAAGTTCTTGACATGTACACTCCTGCCACCACAAGGTTTCCTCCAGAAAACATCCTTGAACTTATTGACGGTTAAGTTAGTTCAGTAGTCTGGATGGGAAGGACAGGATGAGCTGCAGTCTGTAGCCTTGGGCTCAGCAGTTTGAGAGATAGCCTATGGCTTCCCCCTCATGCAGAGCAGGGAACTGGACCATATTTCATCTATGGAAATCTTGTCTTCAATAGTAACTATGGGATGAAAACTCAGGGTATTTCGCATGTGTTAGCTCATGCCAATTCTTAGAATTTCTGGATTAAACTTTTAAGGTGTGTATTGTTGTATTGAGATCCTTATAAAAACTTAAAAACCTTACATTTAATTCCTGTCCATGAAGTTGACAAGCATAATGAATCATGACCTCAGAGGATGCATTTAAGGCTTGAGTTGTTTTATACAACCAAATACTGTAGCAGGCTTCTCAGTGTTCCTTTATTTGTTTGACCTAGACTGAATTACGAATGCTACTATAGACTACATGTCCTCAGACCCAAGTTCAACAGTGAAGGACTCTGCTTGCTGCAGAGTTTAAAATAAAATCCCAAACCTGTATACTAGTGATAGAGTTTTGCACTGGAACCCAGGTTGTTTGTCCGCTGGAATTGAAGAATGAATCCACGGACAGAAAGTGGTATAGTAAAGGTGGATATTTATTGATGAACAAGTACAGACTCCCACATGGGTAGAGGGAAAGGGTCCCACAGAGTTCCTTTCCCTGTGGCTTATAATGGCTGCAGATCTTGGTGATTTGATATCCTCTGTGACAGGTCACTAGTCCCTTAGACTGGTTACTATAGTAACTCCTGGGCTCAAGGATGAACCTCACATGGGACTTGAGAGGTTCTTCCCTCTCCTTCCCTATTGCTTTCCTATTCCCTTTGAGCTTTCTTCTTCTCCCTCTGAATGAAGGGCTTCCTTCTCTTTATTTTGTAAATATAGACCTTTTGCTATTCCCAGCTCCCTCATTTTATGGAAATGTACCTGTTACAGCTTTTCAGCTTCCCTATTCTATCGAAATAAACCTTCTGCTGCTCTGCAACCCTGCGCTTCCTCCATGGCTCCCTTAACTTCCAAAATTTCTAATATTTCCTAAACCTGTCCCCTTTCCCCCCTAAAATTCCGGTTTCACTGTTTCACTAGAGTTCATCAGTAATAATAAAAAAGTGATGCACAAAAGGCTACATACATTATAGAGCCCTCACAATTACACATAAGCTTTTGTTTCCTTTTTCTTTTCTCTTTTTAAATGTCTCTTTATTACTGAAAGCATTACATGTCCGTTTTTCCCACTCCACCCCCCAGGCCTTCACCACACTAGTGTCTGTGACCATGGGTTATGCATATCTGTGTATGAGCTTTTGAAAGAAGCCCTTCTCTAGGTGGAAGAGACATTCCCCCCAGCAGGAAGGACACGCTTGTCTGATAGATGTCCAAGATTGTGGCCTGAGCAGTGTTCTCACTAACATTCACGCTGCTCCTTGTTCAGGTTTATTATTTTCATCTGGGATGGGGTAGGAATAATTGGACTTTTTTTTTTCAAACAAAAAGCATTTGCAACTAGAAATCACATTTAAAAAATAGAAATTCTAAAATAATTTTAGCAACCCCAGGAATCACCATAAGCATTAAACCAAGCTGAGATAAACTACTGCATCAGCAGAGACAGAGAGTGGCAGGCAGGAGGCAGGGGTAGATCCTATCATGATGTGTTCTGTGGTTCCCTGGGCTCTTTCTGCACATGGAGCCTCCAGGGTGATCCTAGAACAACTAAGGTCCACAAGCCTAGCAGGCCGGGAAGCTGGGTGAGATGAGCTGTTAGAAGAAGTAAGGTCCTGGCCAGGCCTTTTGGACATACCATAGATATAAATCTGAGGTTCCCTAGTATAATATTGAGGGAATGGTGTGGGGAATAGAAAGAATACAAGGTATTTGATTGATTATTTTATTTAACAAACTCATATATAGACACATACGATGTACCAAGTATTGCTATTTTGTCAGAGAGATTAAGTACTCAAAATGCTACCCATCAAGGGATATGGTTTTGTCTCAACTAATACCAGTCCCTTTCTTTTTATGGCATTTGAAGGGGTTTCCTGAATGTGTCCTTAGGTAACAGGTAAACTGAGCTTTTTCAAGTTTATCTAAACTCCTATTTCTCGCATTTCTTTCAGCTCCATTCCCAGACTGCCAGAAACTCCTTTAGGGCAGCAGGCTGTACTATAATATCTATTATATTGTAATGAGAGGATTTGTTTTCATGCTAATTCATACTATTAGATGTAACATAGAAATATAATTCCCAATCTTAACTGCAAACACTATAATTATATATAGACACACAATGGTCATTAAAAGATGATGTTTCTTAGCTTAGGAGTGTTAAACAAACTTGCAAATAACCTGGAAATAGGGGAGGTGTTTTTTTAAATATATTTTATTGATTTTTCACAGAGAGGATGGGAGAGGGATAGAGAGTTAGAAACATCAATGAGAAAGAAACATCGATCAGCTGCCTCCTGCACACCTCCTACTGGGGATGTGCCCGAAACCAAGATACATGCCCTTAGCTGGAATCAAACCTGGGACCTTTCAGTCCGCAGGCTGACGCTCTATCCACTGAGCCAAACTGGTTAGGGCGAGGAGGTTTTTTTTACTGAGAAACATCCCCTCTAATGAGAGAATATCCCAGGATCCGGGGAGTCTTTACATTGCCAGAATCTTCTGGAATGAAAAAGGAGAACATGCCTCTGTTTAATCTATAAAAATGTTCAGAAAGTTTGGTTTCCTTAGAATCTAACAATTTGCTGCTTCTTTAGACATTCAGTGTTTAGCATATGTTTTAGAGAGATGTTTATTAAAAAATATTATGAAAAAACTAATGGAAATAAATGAGTAAAATAGAAAAAAATATAAAAAAATATAAACTAAAACATTTATACAGGATAATATTGCTTTTTTCTTTTAAATAAAAGAAAATCAGGGAGTGCCTTGATTGGTTCATGTAACTAACCATCAAGGTTTCTTTCTGGACAAAAACCTTGTTAATTAGATCTTAGCAAACCTCTCTTCTATTATTTATGAATTCTTACTCCTTCCTCAGAAAAGAGGCGTGCTGGACTTTTTCCAGTCTCTTGCAAAATTTGTCAAGTGATGCCAAACTGTGACGGATATAGTTAAGTCTCTATAAGGACTGAGTCAGGATGAGTCAGAAACAAACTTCTTCAAAAGGGAGGAGTTATTCCCTCATATTTTAAAACATGGGTTGAAAATTTAGTGCCGGTTCATCAGAACTTTGGAGGCAAGGACATCCAGTGTATGTTAGAATCTCCAAGCAAAATGTTGTCCCCCTGACCCTGGAATCTGTACTCTGGTGGCTAGTAGCATTTCTCCTGGACATAGCTAACTCCACAGCTTTTCAAGGAATTCTAGAAGCCTATCTCCTCTGGACAAGTTGAGAATTCAGGCTGAGGTTCCTGAAGAAATAATGCGTGGATGGTACAGGATTGAGGATTCTTTCAGGTGCTTAGTGTGTGTCTGTGTCTGTGTTGTGTATAAATTAGGAGCAGACTTGGGATGTTCTACCATCTACACTAATAAAAGAGAAACATAGTAATTAGCGTACGACCGCTACCCTTCCCATTGGCTAATCAGCATATCCTTATGCAAATTAACTGTCAGCCAAGATGGCGGCCGGCAGCCAGGCAGCTGGAAGCGAACATGAGGCTTGCTTGCTCCAGTGACTGCAGACTCCAACGTTCCCCACCTGACTTGCCGGCCTCTGAG